ATTTTAGTCAAGTCAAGTCAAGTCTGCTTTATTGTCAATTCTTCCACATGTACAGCACATACACACAGAGAATTGAAATTGCGTTACTCTCAGACCCTTGGTGCATACAGATAACACTAACAGTAGAACATAAATACAGATATACAGATTAAATATAAAATACAACTATACAAATAAGGTAAAATGTAAAAAAAATTTTTTTAAAGTCTATTCATAATAGAATGTTGAACAATTTTTGTATGTACTTAGAAATAATATGGGTTTTGTGGCGTAATGTTGATTACCACAAAAAGCCCTATTTCAACTTGTCGCTTGTTTTCTTGTAAAAAAAAAAAAGCACAAATTGAGGTTACCTTGTAGAGAAGTTGAGCGCATAATTCTGTAAAGTCATTTTAGGGTTTTAGGGTGTTAGGCATTATCATGGAAACAAAGTTGTAAAATTTGAAATACACTACCGTTCAAAAGTTTGGAGTCGATAAGACTTTAAATGTTTTTAAAAGAAGTCTCTTATGCTCACCAGGTCTGCATTTATTTGATCAAAATACAGTAAAACAATAATATTGTGAATTTATATATATATATATATATATATATATATTAAAATGTAATTTATTCCTGTGATGCAAAGCTGAATTTGCAGCATCATTACTCCAGTCTTCAGTGTCACATGATCCTTCAGAAATCACTCTGATATGCTGAAAAAGTTAGAAAGTATTTTTGTTACACTAAAACCATGCTAACATGCATATTGCTAAAGTTCTGTGGCTAAATCCCATTTACTTCCATTGTAAGCGCCTCACTGTAATCCAGATTTGCTTTTTTAAATGAAAATTATGAAAAAAGTATGCCACAGGTGCTGTCGGTTGGGATTAACTTGTATCAAACCCATAATATTCTTGAATGTCTGTGAGCAAATATGTTAATTACAGACTTGTTAAACCATAGCCATCTGGACAGTGAAGCAGATGAATAGCTTTGCCCAGTGTAATAGCATCCATATGCACAACATGACTCATCTGTGATTCTAGTCCTGTGAAAGAACTTGCCACCTACTTGCGTAGCTCTGTGTAAATTGGCAGCACCTCGGGGTGGCACACGAACGCGAACGCCAGGATGGGAACCGTGTAGGCCGTCTAAAAACACACAGAGCAGACCACGTCACATCACCATGGATACAACAGCGGCAACCATAAACCCCAAACCCCACACTTTAAAGCCCATTAAACACTGTAGCACATTACAGAGAGCTAATTGTAGCTGTGATTAAATCAGACTTGGACAGAGCTCAGGCCTGGGCTCATTTAAAATGCTGGTCCTGTGCACATAGAGACGGACACGGTGATGTGTGAGTTGACACTTATGTATGTGCAGAGGATGTGATTATACTTAAGACATAAATAATAAAGGAATATAGGCCATAGACTGCAATAAATAAGAATGTGTTTGGGTAACCCATCTTAAAAAGCCTGTACTGACCTAAGACTACATTTACCCAATCAAAAGATCTATAGTTCAAGTAGGATGAATGAATGGATGTATTCTATTGCTCAAAGGTTGCTTTTTCCTGTTTTTGAGTTAAGTCTTTATGTTCACCAAGGCTGCATTTATTTGATCAAAAATACAATAAATACAATAAAAAATTGTAATGTGAAATATTATTACGGTTTGAAATAACCGTTTTCTATGTTAAAATATATTAAAATGTAATTTATTCTTGTGATGGCAAAGCTGAATTTTCAGTGTCACATGATCATGATTTGATCCTTCAGAAATCATTCTATAATGCTGATTTGCTGCTCAAGAAACATTTCTTGTTATTATAAATTATTATAAAAACAATTGTGCTGCTTAATATTTTTGTGGAAATGGTGTTTTTTTCAGGATTCTTTGTTGAATAGAAAGTTTAAATTTAAATCTCAACATTATAAATGTCTTTACTCTTTAGTGTAGCTTTTTATCAATTTAATGCATCCTTGTGGAATAGAATAATTTATTTTTTTTAAATCTTACAGACCCCATCTTTTGAACTGTAGTCTCATTTATGTCTCAGATGTTTCTCTTAAATTTCTTACGGGACATAAAAGTTTAATAAAAGACATGACAAACACAGATAAAAGTCATATGGGTTTGGAATGACATGAGGGTGACCAAATAATGACAAATGATTTAGTTTTGGGTGAACTGTCACTTCAAGGACATGTTTATGATTTTTGTTTCCTACAATAAGAGAGCAAAAGAGAGGTAGTGGGAAACACCAGTCTTTCTCATATTTTTCCAGTTTAGCAGACCACTCTGCAATGATATTTAAAACCACAGCCCATCAAAGGTTCCCTAACTACTTTAGAAATGTGAATATATTATCATAACATAAGCTGAAAATCCAGATTTTCATGCAGTTTGAGAACTGATATCTAAACGGCTGCTTGGATTAAGCCCAAATATATGCGAGTCATGCAACGGTTCATTTGGAACTACAGTGTGTGTCATTTGGCTTAAAGTCTTATATCACATGACTCATAAGAATGTCACAGCGTGATTTCAGTATATTCATATTCTAAGTTACACAAAGATATACCTGTGAGTTGAGGTTAAAGAGGCGGGGGGTGCAGGCAGGGTCACCCTCAGGGGTCATTGCCACTCCTCCGGGGTCAGCCGCCACACTCGTGTTAAAGCCCAACACTGTCCTGTTATGGGCATAGTCATCAAAAGGACATTTGACCTGGAACGTCTTATAGATCACCTGGAGGGAGACAAGAGATGGAGTAATTAACAAGTCTTGCATAGGTTGCAATTAGATTCATGTCATCGTTTAATCATTTTTTCCCCTTAGGCTCCACTTATAGTTAGACACCATGTTTTTTTTTTCATGACGATTTCAAACTTGCGTTCTGTCCCTCATAATTAAATGGGACAGGTTTTTTTAATCCTATAAAGCCTATTATCATGTCATATTTGATAGGCAAATTTCTAAGGAATTTAAATTATCAACATCAAAATTTCTTGTACTCAATTTACTACAGTACATGCCTTCTGATGTCTAACTGATAATTTTGACCTTTTTTGGAAGTCCTTTTAGTATAATAAAAAAAAGAAAATCACATTTCGGTTGTGTTACGTGTCTTGTTGCTGTAAAAACATATTTTTATAAAGTAAACTTAAGAATATATTTTATTAATGTTAGTAATATTTCAAGATACACACTTGATTGAAAGCAACTTAGGTTTATTTGATTGGTTTATTTTTTTTAAATCATGTTTAAAATCACGTTAAAATGAGAGTATCAAATATGATACATCAGACATTTATCCGTTTATTTCTCAATTATCATTGTATTAGATTGCATTATATGTTTTGCACCACAATAAAAAACTACAGAGCTTTGATCATAAAACTAAGCATTTAAATATTATCTTACTAAGACATATTATTGGGAGATATACAACTGATATTTATATGCATTTAATGTTAGTAATTTGTTTTTTTCTCCTCAAATTGAGCTCCACATTCTCTGATATAATACTATATGAGCCATAAAAGCCTGATGCATCAAATATGATATTCAACAAAACACACATCTTAAAACGTAAAAAAATAAATATTTTGTCTAATTTTTCTGACTATTATTTTATACTTTACTGGTTTAAACCTTAAAATAGGCATTGTTGTAAATGTAGGTAGTCATTTGTTGATTTATTTAGTCTTCTGGAGTCAGAAATCCAAGGATGAGTTGTGACTTGTGTTTACGGCATAGTTTCAAAAGGATAGTATTTTTGAGTTATGAATTACTGAATTACATCATGTTCATACATTATACATTATATGGTTTCTCATGATATGAGACCTTTAATACTAAAAGGTACACATCACTGCTTTATAATGTCATTTATCAGTGTCACATGACCAGTCAGATGAGAGAGAGTAAACTGGGGTGGCTCTGTCGCCATTGTGTCTTTTCATTTGGTGCTTATCTGAATCACAGCAGGGATGGTGAATCAAGAGAAGAAGAAAGAGGCAATGTTATCGTATTCAGACAGCACCATGATGTAAAGACTGGACAGTTTCATAAATCCAGCTTGCAGATGTGGCCCAGCCAATGCCACACACACACACACACACTAGCGTGAGGACAGAAAGAGTGAGAGCCGTGTGCAAAGATTAAAGCTCCCCTCCAAAACTAGGTCAGTGAGGTACACCAAACACAACCCCACTCTAAAAATACAAGACACTCTCACACAACATCACATGCTGGTCCTGCTGGTGGAAAACATGAGCACATCCTTAAATCACCCAGCTTACTATAAGATTTATAAACTGCTAATTGGAACTGTATCAAGATTAAATATTAATGTTCATGCTCTCAGCACAGTATTCACAGAGAAATTTCAAAATAGCAGAATTCTGCTTCGTGATTGGAATACTAAGCAGCACGTGGCAAATGAATGAAACCATAGTTAAAGGGATAATTCACCTGAAAATGACATGTCATCATTTACTTGCTCATGTTGTTTCAAATCTGTATGACATCTTTGGTGGAACACAAAACAATATGTATTTCCGCAATATTGCACAATCGTGAGTGATTTTGTTTAGACTATTATACAACAATTAATAGAGTAAGTTACATTTTAGACACAACATTGACAGTTACTTTGTCAATTTTTGATCCACCAGCAAAAAAGTATTTGAAACAAAGCCACAGCAGAATTAAATCTCGTTTCTGAGCAACACACAGTTATATAATGCAAAATGTCTAGAGCAGTTTTTCATAATGATAGACACAATAAAAGAAGTTCAAACCACCTGTCAATGGACTGTGCATGAAAAAGGCAAGAAAGTCATAGAGAGAGGACATGAGGATATACAGATGAAGAATTCATTTTCAGGTGAACTATTCCTTTAACAAGAGCAACAAACATACCGCAATAAGGAAGAAGACCATACAACTGAGAGAGAAACCGCTGGTGTAGCCCAGGTACCCTGAAACACAGTGTTATGAATAGGTGACAATTACCCACAACACCTCTGTAAGCAGTCTGATCTGGGCAATACTCTCACAATGCAATAAAACATGAATACTACCATTTTACATTATGCAGATGAGCAGACAGGAAGTTGTGAGCAGAACAAGGGGTATGTGCAATTAGACATAAGAGTCATAAGTTTGAGATGACTTACCGAGCTGCTTCATTAAAGCCAGCGGCAAGATGACACTGCATGATACAATGACGACCAGGTAATTGCCATTTAAATACCACTCCCTGCCAAATAAATCACAGAAGAAAGACAAACACAAAACAGAATTATAAATGGTTCAAAACAACTGTTTTCTAAGACAATGGAATGTTACAACAATAAATGTAAGTAATTTTTCCACTATTAGAAGGTGTGTGAGCCACAGAGCCTTTCCATTTGTAAGTTTATGTTAGATAAAAATTATGGTCATATATTATTCTTACCAGTGTTGTTATTGTAAACTAAACTATTAAAAAAAATTTATTGAAATAAAATAAAATAAAATATAAATATTAGGTGAAAAAAATTTAACTTAAAAACGTAATATTAAAAATGCTTCCTTGACAACTAAAATAAGTTTAAGTACTAAAATGACTAAACCTAAAACTTAAATAAAAATAAAGCTAAATAGAAAAATGAAGAAAACAAATCAAAATTACAAAAACAAAAAAAATTACTAAAACTTCAACTAAAATTTTACATTAAAACTGAAAAATATTAAAATAAAAGCTAATTCAAAATATTAATAAATACTATATCATTTAAAAATACAAAAATAACACTGATTCTTATTGTTACATAAAACTATGCATTGTTTTACATTTTTCATTGTTTTACTAGCTTATTATGGAAGAACTGTTTATTGTGATTATTAATACTCATGCATTTATTCACTGAACATTATGTTTCAAATTTGTTTCATATCGCTCTTGCTGCTGTTTTATAAAAACAATCAATGTTGTGTGTTACAGTGATTTTACCATGCTTAAGGGGTTTCAGGCCAATAAACACCCATTAATTGTAATGAAACCACTGTATGGTTTCAAGTAGCTTACTGCTTTTAAATAATATTGACCCATTTAACATTTCCCTTGTGTATTTGCATATGGAGCAGCGGTTCTCTAATTAATTAACACTAATGCATTACATTTTCATAATAATAAATGACTGCTTACTACAGTATGTTCTTTAAATGGCTTACAGTGCAATGCATCAATCACATTACTAAACAACACCAGGACATGGAGGTGGTGATTATTTTGAGGGCGTGATCAGTGCCCTTCCTTTTAAATGTTTTGGGATGTGTGACTGAGCAGCTATTTAGACCCAAACCCTTGTGCTCAAACACAGGCCAATTTAGAGGAAATCCTCTCCCTCTCTAACTCGTCCTAAAGCTGCTAATCTTGTTATTCTGCCCCCCATTAAGACCAAATACATGGCATCTCTCAAAGAAGCTCTGAACGACAAAGACTGAGAGACTTATTAGGGACGGCTCATACCCTGCCCGGAAATTCAGCTTGATATGAGACAATGGAGCGACTCCATCAAGCCAAAGATGTTCAGTGGAGTGTGGATTTTATTAAGTGGAGATAAGGTATGATCTCATTGAGGTGAAAGATGCCAGGTACATGGTCAGCAGCGCTAAAACAAAGTTATTTCGGGAGGACAAGCTAAACTGGAGGAGATGGTGCTTGACTCTCTACTGGTTGGCTCAGGATCCGTATGCGTGTGATGTTCATTTTCTGCCACAGGTTTTTTACATGGGCAGTAGAGTGAGTCAGTCGTTGAAAGGCATGCCAACACTTGCCTGAACACACTTCCTCTCAACAGTTCTGCACCCCACCCACCCCTTCACGTCTAGTCTGGATGAGGACATGTCTGGGTGTAAAATGGGCACATTTACTGTACATGCACACTTTTAACCAACTTCCTTACCAAAGTGACTTAAAATACAGTGCACAAATTGTGGTATTGCCAAATAGCAAGACAGGAAAAGAAGAAAATAAACCACTTTCACACACACAACAGCTTTCTGTCTTTTATTTGCATTGCTGTCATTCGCATATCAAAACCAAATTGCTGTTTAAAATGAGTTCCAATCGCTAATACAAATATCTAGACTGTAAAAAATTTCCACAGCACTTCAACTTAAAAATTTAAACTTTAGTTGCTAAATGAGTCATTTCAACTTCATCACATACAACTTGCAAAAATGAAGTTGAGATGAATTAAATAATTTTGATGTGTTAAAGTAACGGAAAAACAGATGTTGCCTTATTTCACATTCTTTATATTTATATATATATGTATATATATAAACGAGGCATTTGTTGCATCCAGTGGGGACATAATTACGGATTATAATGACTTATACTGTGTTTTTACGCGTTGCGTTGCATCGCGCCACGTAAACATAAAACCATGTCTGCATTTGTGATCGGAGAAATGAAAAACAACAAGTGCTACTCTACACTGCTCAAAACTCGCGTTTGAATCGTCAGTGGCAAATTCTTTAAATATTAAAAAAACGTACTTACAGTCTGTGAGTCAGAACAGCCGGCATTGTAGTCTACTCTACCAGGATCAGGAAACAGTTCTCCATAAAATGCGCTGGACACAAACTGTTCTGGAACAGTGTTGTAAATACAACTTAACCACTGATTTCTAGTTGTGTCCTCTTTTGGAAGGCCAAACAAAGTAGTTTCGCTTTCACAACGAAACACA